AAACATGGAGGGCCTAATTGGGGCTCTGAAATGTAGGCAGAGAATAAAAATAGAAACCTTCTTAAATGATTAAAAGACAGGAATCTCCAATGTCGTTTAAACATACTATTCAAATTTATTAGCTCCTTAGTTAATTTATAGTACCTAATGCTGATCTTCTGCAAAAACATTAAAAATCATTCCTTTCCTAAATAAAAAATTTACCGCCTTTCATAAGCCTCTACATGAAAATTTAAAATGCGAGTATTTCTAAGATGCAGATTTTATTGGATTAGAATGACAATATTGCCATTGATTTTAAAGTAAATATCCCTAGTTACTATTTATACTGATGATGAAGTACAATGTAAACACCGTAGTTGAAGATTACAAATAGGATTATTGTTTGTTATTTTGTTACAGTCAGTTCCAGGACAAAACACCTAGATCTCTTTGTACCATCCAATGTTACAATCTACAAAAGAATCTCATTCTGTTGCGGATTGGGGCTATTCAGTAAAAAATATTTCATTAAAAATTCCATTGATTTCTTTACTTCTTGGGGAAGAGATTCTAATTTTGCTTCTAAGATGTCCTTTCCAATTTTTCTCCTACCTAAAAAAGTCAAGGACTTTTCCTGACAACCGCAGACAGCGGACAGCACATTCTCCTCAAGCTGGCGAACAGGAGGGATTTTCTTCCTAAACAGCCCTTATGCTTTCTAGTTTGAATTATCAATAAAACGGCTTGGCTTATCTCTGAAAATAACCTTGTTGACAACACAAATATGGACTTAAACATGCTACCTCTACATTTAAGATTTAAGAAGCCCCCAGTAAATGTCAGGGGGTGTCAATGTGTTTGCTGAGATACTTGGTTATTATTAGTGTTTAACTGCAATTCCCCACCAGCTCCACGCTGCCAGCACCACCATAAATTTTAATGTGATCATGTGCTCTTCTCTTTTCATATCCAGTGAATTCTGCAAGATCATAATATTCTATATGAACCCTGGTTGAACCTTACTGTGATATGAAGAAAGAACAAGATTTCTAGCAGTGATAGTTGTTCATCATTTTATGTTTTTTTTTTTTTTTAAACTGGATACTGAACAACCTGGTTCCTTGAATAATATTACCCCAAACTAAATTCACTCATTCAATTAATCTTTATTGAGCCCCGACAGGATGCAGGGCTTGGCCTAAAGTGCTAATGAGTACATTTATTGGATAGTAAAGAATACTGACTCTTAAGGAAACCTTTTTTTCCCCCTTGGAAAATCTGTCAGAGCTCATACATCATTTATAAAACCGAAAAATTCTCTGCCACCTTGACACTGCTACATGTCTTTTATTTTATAGAATACAAACAAAAGCACAGTTGGTTTCTGTATTTTCTCTACCTTGTGAACATAAGGGATGTGTCCATCAGCTTCTATGATATGTGTGCTTGATGGAATATTTTTTTCTACAAGCTTCTACAAATAAAGAGATTTGGTATAATTATTATTGATCTGCAGGTTTTTATTCATTGTTTTAACCACAAATAGTAACATCAACTACATACTGTATTTATCAGAGAAATGAAAAGCATTCGGTAAATTTTAACTAAGTAAATTTTCTAAAGCAAAGGATAATATTCAAAGTTTCCGTTTATAAATTTGAAATTTCAGGCTGGAGGCATAGAACACATTAATGTCATTAACGTATTCCCAGTGAGCTAAATTCCCACCATTTTATTTTAGCAATTTGTCTATTTTACAAAGTAGTTCTTTTTTTTCTAAATGAAAAAAATTACCTTATGATGTAAATATGAGCCTAAATACTTGTGCAAAACCAATTCTGAATCATTACATTTATTTTCATTGTGTAAAATGATTTTAGGGTTGAAGATTAGGAAGCTGCTGCATATATTTATAATTTGCTTGTTTTGTCATACATAGTGTCAAAATTTGCTCTGCAGTGACACATAACTATGCATCTTTCCGTTCTCAGAGACAATAGGCTTAGGAAAAATACACATCACAGATTTAAGGTCACAGGGAGAGCGCTGCATTATTCATTTCTAACAGCAGAGCGGGCAAGGAAGCAATCGTAAAACTGGCCCATCCTGATCGGAAAGGCTCTTTCAAACAGACTAGTTTTGTTGGCATCTCTTTTAAGGAAAACATTATTTTGTGGTAGGATGTATGTCTCAGTGTCTCTTGTGCTAGATGAAAAGAAGCACTTTCAAGAAAGGGTGGTTACTTTTTTTTCCTTCTTTTTCCTGGCATCTGGCTCAGAAACTTTGCCTTGGAGCGCCATCTAGAGGAGAATTTAGCACACAGAGACCATGTTTTCACCTTATGACTCAAGCTGAATCCACTGGCTGGGTAAGATAAATTTCTTTCTTTTTTTTTTTTTTTCTTTTTTTCCAGATTAATAGAAAAATTTGATTCTAACCCAATACATGGAAATTGACTATGATATCACTTGAATGGAAATAGAGCCAATTATTAGGTCAAAACCGTGAAAGGCTCTAGAAGTCTTCTAGAATACCCTCTTGTGGAAATAAGGAGGGTACCATGTTGCACTGGCTGAGGTCGTATTTTAGAAACTAGATCTCATGGGTCATTAAGTTCTTTATTATTTACACTAATCAAGTCATCTTTTTGATCTCTATAACTGTTTTCCTAACTAAAAGAAATTCTGATCAATCAGATTGTTTATAGTCAAGTTGGAGAAGATACTTGCTTGTGTGAGGGATGAATGAAAGTTGACATTTTAAACTTCTAATTCCTAGTAGAGGTGAACATAATATAATGAATAAAAATGTTATTTTTTCCATATGTGGCTATTCGATTTAATGTGAGGGAGAAAAAATTATTAATATGTTCTTTTCAAAGTCATGTTTTTATTTTATGATACCTTCCCAACCTCCATTAAAGAACTTTAACAGCATAAGTTCTTTTTGTGCACTAGCTTGAATAGAAAAACAAAATCCAAACCTTCTCTGACAGGGATACTCTTCAAAAACAAATGCATTCTGAGCTCTGAAGTCATGGGTATCCTCATCGTGGTGACATGGTTATTTTGAGTTCTACTTCATTCAATTTCTTAAAAAAAGATCAAGGTTATTCCCATCATGGATATATTTGATGAAAACTGGGTATATATTTCTTTTTACTCTTAAATGTCCACCCTACTCCTATTGTCATTGGCAGATTCCCCCATCCCAACTGTTTTAAGACTTGTCATAAAAATGTGTCTCTGTCCATTGTAAACTCATAACATTATGGTTATTCCTTTTTCCTTCATGGAAGGAGATTTTTTTGCCTACTTATTTTGGCAATTCACCATCAGTCTAAAGGTTCTCCAAAATAATTGGTTAATAATTTCTTTACTGGATGCCCTCTGTGAACCAGATACGTAAACTTGGCACATAGAAAATTATTCCTTATATACTGAGACCTGACTCGGAAAAGCACAAAGGTGTGTTTTTGCAAGCAGTGTTGGCCCCTGAGCAATAAAGCCTCGTGGTTCACAGCATCGTCCTCCCTTTCTCCCTCGGGTGATGGCTGACTGCTCTAGTAGTATATGCAACAGAAGGAGGCGGTCCGTCAGTTTTTCCAGGCCAGCCCGCCTGTTCTGAAGCAGCTGAGGACCCTAAACACAAATCCTCAAGTACAAAAGGAAGACATTTCAGTCCCATCATCTTATGCCACATGCATATTTGAGTACAAGTCAATTTAATGCATATTTGTTGAAAACTTACGATGTTATGTGATAGAGTACAAGGTGCTGGTGGGGCCCCTGATAAATAGATGTTGGGCACATAAGTAAACGTTGTTGTAAAACTAAATGACCTTTTTTCTCAAGCAGATTCCTCTATAGGCAAATGACATATTTATAATTTAAAATACCTGGTAGAAAGAAAGATGTGTTGTACCAGGTACAGTGCCGAGCACGAAGTAATTACTGATGCTCTGGGGGAAAGGGGAGAACTTCATAGAAAAACTGGCTTTAGATCAATGCTTTTAAAGGGTAAGTAAAAATTTAATAGGCAGAGAACAGGGCAGAGATTTTCATGAGGAAGAAGCAGAATTGTTTTTGTTCATTTGGACCAAAGAAAAATGCATGTCCTTTGGAGTATCCAGTTTTGTGTTTAAATTTTCATTTGGGTACAAAGATGTAAGGTTATTATCACTATACTGTGAGAATCCAAAACTCACACTCTTCTCTGTATGCTAAATACATGGACACACCCACTTAAATGTATGTATGTATAAATATGTGTGTATATACAACTATGAGTCCAAAGAAACCAACATATTTAAGCCAGAAAACATTTGCTTGATGATAACAATGTAAGCAGAAATTAAGACCAAAACAAACCTGATTTCTTCCCAGAAGATGGGGATGAATAGGAGGTTTTTGTTTCTTTCAATCTTGCCACAAACATTTGCTTTTAGATCAAATCTCAAAGTCCAGAAAACAGACTGGTCACAGCACTGCGATACAGTTCCTGGGGCAGAGATTTAAGCCTCGTGGACTTTGAACCCTGACAGCAACCATTCCTCCCCCTTCCTCTGTCTTCACCTCCACTGTCCTCCCAAATAAGCACTCTCAGGATTCCCATGCTTCTGTGGATAATGCTCACACCCCCTTATTTTGGATTTCACTTGCCCAGAGTGTCTTATCCAATAATTTCTTTGTTCTGATACTACCTCCATGTCTTCTTCTTCAAAAAAGATTGCTTTGAAAATCTAAGCATTCTTTTGTAAAAGAACCAGTGAACCTCTTTTCAATGTTTTATCTTGGTAAACTGGTTCTAGCTACCCTGGCTTCAAGGTGTCAAATGTATGACAGACACCTTGAAGCTTAGAAATTGGTGTCAAATGTATATTTCCATAACCAGGGCAGGAAAGTTCCAACATAAAATAATCACATGGCGATTTATCAAAGAAGTGGAAGTGTAAAAGAGAAGGCCTCTAGGTCTACACAGATGGAAGATGACCTTCCGCCATCACTGAACACACTTACAGTTAACATCGCAAACATCAGTTGGCACACGTTGAAGGCGTGTCTCCAGTTGTGGTATAGAACCATTCGGTAATTTTTTCTCACTGTCAAAAGCCACCTACACAGTGTCTGAAATGGGAGGGGAGAGGTCTTGTCAGGCAATGTGTCTCTAGTGGTTCATTATCAAAAACAATGCTTTTCTCTGAGAAACCAATAATGATCAGAGCCCTTCCACAAACATCTCCTCTGATTCTCAAGGTAATCTGAGGAAGTGTGTGGCGAAGAGATTACCATCCTCATTTTTGTATTTGAAGGCATTATCACCCCTTTTGTATTTGAAGGGATGGTCATCCTCATTTTGTAGTTCAGAGTGGCTAACAGGTTGTCCCAGGTGCATTGTTTGGGTCATCCAAGACAACATCTTACCTCATAGTCGATTTTAAATTTCTGTACCATCCCAAGTTCCATGAACATGCGGAGAGCAGCCGTGATCATGGCATCAACATCGAGCGAAAAGTCGTCAAAGTGAATGTCATCAATGGCAAGTTCTGACACCAGAGGGATGTTGGCGGCCTACAAAGCAAAAGACATAAGTCAAGCCAAGTTCGCCAGCTTTCCCAAACCCCTTGTGTTGCTATCGTCCCCTGCTTATCAGACATGCCACATAAATCAGGCCTGACCTGCACTTACACCCTGATACAGCTAAACCCTGAGCTGTAAATGTCTTTTGTTTCTGAACTGCAAATGCCCTAAGCAAATGAAGGGGGAAGGGGAGAGAAGCTAATCTGAAGATAAAGTATACACACTGGATCTAGCCTGCAGAATTTAGAATACAGAACCGTTTAGTTTACTAAAACCATGGTCATACAATATATTCTGATGCATATTACAAAGTGCTAAATGCAAGAAACATCTGGGCAGCCAGCAGCTGTGAATTTTAATTGCCACTATTCAGGGGAAGGAGATGGAATACTTTGCCTTGTTTCTTGTGTCCTTAAATCCGGTAGATTGCACGTGCTCTTTGTTGCACACGTGTTCTGTGTGCAAAGGATAGAAAGGATCAGACAGAACATCTCTGGTGTGAACTATGTTGTTGTAATAAAAGAGAGATGTTTGGAGGGCTAGGATAAGCAATGTGTCATTGAAGAAATAAAATTTGCTGTATTATTTAGCTTCATTTTGTATAAACATTATAACATAATTACAATACTGGCTATATACATTTAGGGTTTTGAAAACTCCCATGTCAAATAGCTGTTAATCAGTTGCCCACACAAACATAAAGGGAAGAATAAAAATATTTGGAAATTCTTTTCATGCTGATTTCATTGGGTTTATTATGCCATTTGGAACAATCTTGTTGGGGGGGGTCACTACTTTTTTTTTTTTTTTTTTAGGTTTTTGTCATAGGGCGTGTGTACTCCTGAGAGAGAAAGAGAAAGTGAGAAATCACTCCCCAGAGAAGATAGCTACACCGTAATCCCTTCTCCTCCATTCCCTCTCAGGATTCGGGGCACTCACGCACATGAGGCTGCCATGATTGTCAAGCCACTAGGTCTGGGACTCGAACTGTGGTTAGCCATGTGAGAATCCAGCTTCTTAACCATCACACCATCTGCTGACCCCATGGGAGTCACTTTTATGTTTTCAGGTTATCAGGGACCATTGTGAAGTCATATTCCTATAAATTACTCCTGGAGTAACAAGAACTACTTTGTGCAACGAAATCCAACTCAGGTGATTAATCAACCCAGAAACCACATAATGAATTCTTCCTTCCAACTTCTATGCTCCTTCACAGAGGTTCACATCTCTAGGCTAAAATCAAACACTGCTTATCCCTCCCATGTGGAAGAATAAGGAACAAATATACAAAGCACAGGACAATTTACCTTCTATTCTGAAGATGGTTTATTTTATTAAAAATAAATCATCGTATCCTTCAGTAAATTATCTTGGTGGTTAACGTGTTTATAGAGTCAGACTCCTTGGAATTAAAATGGTACGGCTTGTGAAATTTGAACATGGTAGTGGAAATTCTCTCTACAGTGTATCCTTGCTTGGAATTCCTATGTGTCTCCATGCAAGCACTTAACTTTGTTACTTTGCTTTATTTTATTTTATTTTATTTCATTTTATTTTAAAATAAAAATAATAATGTACATAGTTTAAAGAGTAACTTAGATCTACAAGGCTGGTCAGGCGCGTGCACACACACACACACACACACACACACACACACACACGTAGAACTCTTCTGGTACCAGAATTTCCCCTTGCCTGGAGGCAACCACTTTCAAATCATCTATATATCTATATCATCTGTATCTATATGTGTATGTTTGACAAAGTAAGATGTTTACAATTTTTTGGATTATTTTCTATTTTGAGTATTAAGTATTGACTTCCCACCATTGAAAATGAAGATTAAGCTTATATGATATCTGCCAACCTCTGCTGTCTCATGTAATATTCTTTTCATTCCTTAATACACAGACTTTGTTAGATAAATACTCAGAAGGTATATCATTGTGACTATGTATTAGATATGCATAACTGTCATGCAATTTGCGATGACTATCTTTTCTTTCCTTGACAGCCTTTTGTATTCTGCAGAGTTAATAATTACTTTTTAATGGCAATTATTAGTTCAGTTTTCTATGCACTTACAAGTAATTCACCTCCTAAACTCTCTACTGGTTGTCTAAGTCTGTTTTCAGGATTTTCACATGCTTTGGGTATTCCACCAGTTTCATGAAGAAATTGCTTTTGGAACTTTCTGAATCAGGAGTGGCTGTCTTCTATGTCTGATGTATACTTTTCACCCTGGGATGTTCTTTGCTAAAATTCTGGGGGTGCCTTCATCTGGTTCTCCTTTTTTGTTTTCTCCTTTCATTTTTGCTGAAACATAGTTTCTAACAGGCTCCCAAGAAAAGGTTTGGGGTAGGTAGGTCTGTGGGACCTTGCAGTCTGAAATGTTTTTACATTATTGTTCCAGTTCATCGATTGCCTACAGATTTTCAGGTTGGAAATCAGCTCATTCGAATTTCAAAGGGATTGCTCTTCCAGCTTTAGCTGTTATTTTTGAGAACTCAGAAGCTATTCTGGGCTATAAACTTTGAAATTAACTTCCCCTCCTGCCCCATTTTTGAAGGAGGTTCTTTTTTGCTTCCAGAGTTCCAAAATATCATAAAAATGTGCCATGGTGTTTGTTTATTTTCATCCAAAACCCTAAATACTTTGTGAACCCTTTAATTACATCATTTAATTTTAGAAAAAAAAATTCAAAAATAAATTCTTTGATGACTTCTTCCTCTCATTTGTCTGGGATTCCTTTTATTTGAATTTTAGACTGGATTTTCTTCTTTTCTACTTTCCTTTTCACTTCTTTTTTTCTTTTATTTCCTTTTTTCTCTTTCTTTTATTTTTTTCATGTCTTTAATTTCCTCTATTTTTCATTTTTTTTTTAACTTTATTTTCTAGGAAATGTTCCCTCTTTTTACTCCTGAGATTTTAATATCACAGTTTCATTTTAATAGATGTTCTTTTGTTGTCTGAATATTCCTTTTCATTTTTTAATAGCGTCCTAATTGTATTTTATGGACGCAACATCTTCTCTTACCTCTCTGAGGATGTTAATGGTAATTCTATTTGACATTTTCTTCTCTCAGTTTACTTCACTCCTTTCACTTTATTTTAATCTCTCTCTCTCTTTTATTGTGATAAATACATAACATAAATGTATTCTTTTAACTATTTTTAAGTGTACAGTGTACAGCATTGTTAACATATGGTTGTAAAACAGATCTCTAGACCTTTCCCATCTTGCATGACTAAAACTCCATACCATTGAGCAACAACTCCCTCTTTCTTGCTCCTCCCAGATCTCAGAAACCACCATCTGACTTCTTTCCATGAGTTTGTTTACTCTTAATTATCTCATATATGTAGAATCATATAGTATTTACTCTTTTGTGATTAGCTGTTTTAACTTAGCATAATATCCTCAGAGTTCATCCATGTGGTAGCACTTGACAGAATTTCTTTTTGAAAGCCTAGTAGTATTCCACTGTATGTATATATCACATTGTTTTCCTTCAATCCATCTTCCTTAATCACATATTCTTCAATAAATTATTTCAATACATTAGAGGTTTTAGATACATTAGAGGTTTTTTTCAGGTCTCTGGTAATCTTTGGCTTTCCGCTCCTGTCTAAACGTGGGACAGGCTGGCCCCATAGCTCAGCAGTTAAGGGAGCCAGATACCACATGGCCAACCGCAGCGTGACTCCCAGCTCTGATGGTTTGAAAACACGTGTGTGTGTGTGTGTGTGTGTGTGTGTGTGCCCAAAATCCTGATGGAAAGGGGGAATGGAGAAAAAAATATTATGGCATGACCAGGCCCCATTGGGGGATACTTTCACTCTCTCTGGCAAATGTGCATGCCCTCTGGCAATAATAAATACATAAAATGAAAGTAGAGCTCTAAATGCCTTTATTGGCACTTCCTTAGGCTTCTCTGCAGAGGGAATCTGACTGGCCTATTTCCTCAGGGAAGCCACCAAATGTCACTATCTTCATGTCTTTGCTGTTAAGCCACTTAGATTCCCTAGAGAATAATCCTCTGGCTGGAGGCTGGTGGGGACAGGGTTTAGAGGAGGAGTCTCAACACTGGTCTGCAACTGTCCATTCAGTCTTTCTGTTTTCAACCTTCATTCCCTCAAGCTCCAGACTTTGAACCCAAAGCCATGCTCTGATACACTCTGCAGAGGATAAGCCTCCAGCCTTTAAGGAATAGAGGAGTCAGACAAATAACCTGGGACTCTAATTGCTCCTTACCTCGCCATTTTCCTGATAGGCCCCACCTTCATTCTCACTTCCATTCTGCACTCTCACTTACCAGTTCCTGAGCTGTTTGTGGGGAGAAGTCTATAGTATAAATCCGCTTGCCTCTCAGCTTTTCCCATTGCAGTGTATTTTGGCCCTCTTAGGCTTGCTAAATTAGTTATGATTCATCTATTCATTTTCTAGCTTCCAAAATTTTGTCATTGTTTAGTTCTCTTCTGATTTGTCTTTAAAAGTTTGCAACTTTAAAAAAGTCTGTTTGGGGAGCCAGACAGTGGGTCAGTGGTAAAATGAGACACTTTCCAAGACTGACGCACATGGAAAGGTTGCTAGTACAAGTCCAGAGATCTTCCTAAGTATGCTGGGCATATGTGCTCATATCCAGGCTGGCTGAGGCTGGGGATGGATGAAAGCATTGAGATCCAACGGGGGATGTGGTATTTCTCTCTCTCTCTTTTTCTGTCTGTCTCTCTCACTGAAAGAATAAATAAATAAACTTAAAAAAAATCCCATTTAGAAGGGTTTAGGATGAGGGGCAAAATAAAATGAGTGTGTTATATCTATGATATTTATCCAAAAATTATTGAAATTATCTTTAGGAGAAAGATACATTAAATGTCAGCTGGGGAACTCAGAGGCAAGCCAGCCTTTGGTCCTTAGTCCTTTTGTTTCTATGTATGAGCTTGGTTGTGTCCATGCAGATGTCTTTGTCTGCTCTGTGTTACTG